AATGCGAGCCCGAAGCTGTGCCGAGTTTTGCCGAAGCATTGCCAAAAGTGAAGTCGTTCTTTTATGCGCGTAATATTAGTGAACGTGACGAGGAAAACATTTTGAACGTGGAAAGGGCTCTGTTTGGCCCAAAACGTAAAGTTTCGACAACCAGTTGTACATTAAAGACTTTTTTTGGTAAAAAGAAGTAACTTTGAAAGAGAAACATTGTTCTTTTTAAATTTTTAATGCTTTCCCGCAACTATCGTTTTCCCGTATTCATCGTTTTTAGTTCCCACCCCCGCCGAAAACGATGCATCGAGGTTTCACTGTAATCATATTTTTTAAAATTCATATACAGGGATGAATATGCTGCACAATAAGATTTTCAGGTACCGTAATCTTAAAAATTAATTTAAACTTTCAAATGCTTGACACATAAGTTAAAAGATTCAATGCAGAAACACTTCATTCACTGAAACATGCATTCCAGGTACTCAAAAACCTTTGCTCAAGACATAGTCTTGTGGTGAATATTATATTTACTTAATCAGAACTTTAACAAAAAAATGCTATAACAACATACTAACTCATGAGGTAGTCATAATGGACCTAAAATGCAATTACTGGTTGCACAAAAGTTTGAGATGATGAACATTTAGCCAACAATGTCATGACCCAAAACCTGATTTTTTTTCAGTATTGTTCCCAGGCCACTTTCTTGTAGTGGCCTGGGAACAATACTGAAGACACACAAGGTAACTTCATAATGTAAGAAATAATAACATTAACAATTCAGCTACAGTTATTGCATCATACGATTAATTTGGAAATACCACAAAAATTAATCACCTTCCAGCAATATAACTGATGCTACAACACAATTTAACCACGTTAAACATTGCACTGTTAACCAATAACACACAACATACAAATTTCTTCCATTTAAAATGTGAATAACCTTCCTAAATTCTATTAATATAATGAACTGACAGCTGCAGACCATCTATCAACCATCAACATTGACCTTCTGGGTAGTAATGCTACATGAACTTGTAGATGTCAACATTTCCAAAGTCCATATTACTATCTGGAAGATGAACGTCAGCATATTTACAGCCATAAGAACCTCAAATCTCATCTATCCACCTCTTAAGTGATGTTACAGATATTTTAAATACACACAAAATGAAATGTAATAATGGATTTACCTTTTTCCCTTAGTCACAAACAAGAAATGCTGAACTCTTTTGTTTGCTGTGGTCACACACACACAATGTATTGTTGCTTACAGATGACAGGATTATTAAAAATTATCAATGGGTTGCTTTATATTTTAATCTTAATACTGTTTAATTCACAGAACTGTCCTCTTGTTCAAAAGTATACTTCAATTCAATTCTAATCTCCATTTATTGACTTTTATTCTTTGCGACTTTGTATGAATCCAGAAGATATCATCCATCCAGATCAGCACAGCACACAGTATGGTGTGCAGTATTCCAATCCTCTAGCTAAAACATATGGTAAGATACAATGTTCAACCCATTAATGAGTATGAATGTACACTAAGATTAAGAAAATTTTATAAGCACTTGACTCAGGCAAGATTAATTCAAAATTAGTTTGGAACTGCCTAGAATTCCTGTTGCAAATGGAAGAATGTAACAGAAAAGATTATATGTGCCAGTCCATTGAAGAACACAGGAAAATTAAGTAAATGATTTATTGGGTGGGGGGAGAAAGCAGGCTGATCTTGTACAAGGTTGCAAACTGCGTAACACTATAACAGAAGATATCTTAACACTGAAGTCTCATTACTTGTCAGAAACAGCCAAAGGACCTTAGAAGAATAGAACAAGAAAACTATTACGATTAAATAACCAGTTGATATTTGTGCAAGATTGCTTAGTACAAGGCTGAATTTCCACAAGTTCACAATAAGAATTTAATTACTGTAATTTATTCATGGTGCAGGATTATCAAAGTGCTAATCAGTTCTGTAGTCCTGAAACTAGAATGGCCTACCACAGGCCAACAGCCTTTGCAGAATCAAATTCTGTCACTGATGGTTCATTCATGCTACAGCAAAACTTTTCACGACCTTAGATCTTTTAAAGCAGTACTGAGAAAGGAAGAACATACAACTTGCTATACCTGTGCTATGATTAATTTAACTGCCAACAATTTGGTTGGTTTCACTCCAGTTTTATTTTATGATACTGCATTTACATCAACTTGCTAGATTTTACATTATGATTATTGTTTATTTCTTCTTTTTAATGGAACAGTAAATGAAACTGTCAGCTGTATGAGTTTTCTTGCCACCCAGCTGTTGGTGCACATTTCATTCTTGCTACATGTGCTAACAAATATTATAATTGCAACAAAGAAACTAATTTTTAAACACAGTTATGGGCATTAAACACACATAAACCGTAATACTATGAAGCAACATCTGCCACGTACATTCCGTGCAAGTTTACCACATGGCATGACTGCAGATTGGTTCCACATTCTAATAAGCGTCAAACTCAAACTCTGTGCCACATAATGATACTGTAAATGGAAATCTACTAACCATTCACCCTAACACATGCAACCACAAATTGCTGCAAAACACCAAGTATGTTGTCCAGATTATTCATTGCCAGCAATTATCAGTTCTGTAGAGCAATAATTTTTGAGCTGGGTTTTCAAAAGAGCATATCAGGCACAAACCAAAAACATAATTACTCTTGGAAATACTGGGTCCACCATGGAAGCCCAGTACCCAAGATTTGTCAAGCCCTGACTTGAGGGCTAACCAGTTTCACAAGCATTTCCCAATAAGTATTTTACCTCAGGGTTTAACAAAAAATTTGAAGTACTTTTGGAGATGAAACATGAGGGGAAGTACTTCCCATTAAGCATTCATTTTATGTGCTTTGTGCAATTTCTTTCTTACCTGACATTCAGCACTACAGTAGCACGTGATGAGGCACCCAGAGCATTTGACCTTTGCAGCCTTCTCACAAACTGCACACTGAATTACAAATTTCATTCTCTCACTCACAGCTGTCACCTGAAGAAAGATAAAATGCTTTACTAATCATACTACTGAATGTACTTAGTAACTAGGGAACCCTGGTAAGAAATGTTCTTGTAAATGTATTATACCAGATAATTCAGCAGTCTGCCCAACTTCATAGGTATATTCATCAAGAGATCTCACAATCATGAGTACTTCAGACGTGAGATTCTCACAACAAAAAAGATGCTAATAGTAGTTTTCTGTGCTGATAGTGTGAGCTTGTATGTGCTTACCAGTGTTCTTCCAAAACCGCATTCACTTAAAGTCCACATGGCATCACAGCCCAGAACACCATTAACAATCACAAGTATGTATTGTTCTAATACAAAATACATTTCCTGAACATCATAACAAATTAGCAAAGGGCCCCACCTCTGATTCATGCCACGTCTGAAAAGTCTTCTCAGTATCATGCCACATTGGCATCTCCTCCTCACATTCAAACCACATCATTAGCTTGCTATCTTTGTAATCTTCAGACTCTTCTTCTAAGAGAGATTTGCTTTCTTCATAATCTTCATCTAACAGTAGTTTGTCTTCAGAATGGTACATACTTTCTGTCACTTGTAGCTCTGATTTCTCCACAAGAATTTCCTGAAATAAGTAGTGATCTCATCACTGCCTTCAGATTGATAAGTTCCCACTTTACCTGAACAATACAGTATTATACTACCTACAATGACATAGATTTAAGGGAATAATAAATGGAAGATTTATAATTTTCAACA